GCACTTTTGATTTGCACTAGCCCTGGTTTATCAAAAAGAACTTCCCTATGCACCTGAAGTGTCTCCGTCATCCTAGCATGATATAGTTCCAGTTCTGCAGGAAAATTATTGTGAAAAAAGAAGACAAGACTGCTAAAGATACACTTGTTGATGGTGACAATAACTATGGAGTATTTTTTCCCCTCCCCTAAAACTCCTTGAAGTGCACAAACTTAATTGAAACTATGGAATATAAATTGAGATTGTTAACAAGGATATAAATGCTAATTCTTCTATACATCTTTGAAAACCCACATGCACCAGCTATCCTGGAATCACACACAGTATCAGTGACCATCCCCAAAAAGCAATGAAGCCTCACCTCCACTACACAATGTGTCGGGTACTAAGACATTTATGACACTTCAGCACATTTGCAGTACTCAGCTCCTATAGGTAACCATGCACTGACAATTAGAACAGTGAGATAAATCTGTTCTGACCTTACTGATGCCCAGTTCACAGATGTACTTCCACACCTCGTGGGATGAGGCAAACGAGCTGTTCCTCTGTATCATGGGGTTCTGCTTGCTGTCTCGAGCTGCCTCTGCCTGAGAAAAAAGAAAAGGTTAGCTATAATCAGCACTCACTGCCAAAAGCCTTCCCAWGGCTCAGCTTCAGGCAGACTCAAATACAAAAGGTGATTTCTTTTTCTCGGACATGTTTAGCATTTAAAGCCACGCCCTTGAGACTGGTGTATGTGAGACAATGTAGTACACAACCAAATATAATTTTATAATAAATGACACAAAATTTAAACTATACTTTAGATTAATATGAAGGAATACCAGCATTCGGCATTTTGTTGACAAAAAAAAAAATTCTGCCGTACCTTGAGCCAGTTAAAACACATTATAATGGAATAGACAAATGCTACAATCTGCAGACATTTAATAACTAGGGACAATTTAGACAAGGGGCAACACAAGTTCCTCTTTCCCAGGTTGTGGGTCTTAAGGATGGTAATAATCTTAGGCAGGTTGGCATRCAGAAGGAATACAYKATTTTGGGTCACCTAGGCYAGTCTGTCATTAGACCTCAGAGATRAAAGGTTTCYCTCTTGTMYAGRATRTAAAAATATCCATCATTAAAATCCAGTATCGTCACACTTGCTGTGACAAAAATATTAGTCCAGTACAGATTTGCCAAGCTAACTGCAGTAATGGCCAACACCTATGGAAAAATTAGGCCTTGCCTGGCACTGATTTTATAAAGAAAACCATTGCTGGCACTCACCTTACTCTGCAGAAACTTAAAACACTGTTGATTTAACACCTCCACAAAYTCAGACTCGAAATCCTGGTCACTGTACCAGGCCCCACCCGTGACTGAGCGGTCAGGCTGCAGGTTGTACAGCATATAGACCTTCTTCTTGGATGCCTGTTGGAGGGAAATGTACAGATCTCAACAGCTGAAAGGCTTCATAAGACAGGAAGATTTCAGCAGATAATCTGCATAAAAAGTGGTTCAATAACTCCTATACCTAAGGCACAGCAATTCAGCTGACTCGAGCTACCCTCAACATGTTTGGCACTCAGGTAACACAGAAATAAAGAGAAGATCAACACATTTCAACTCTCAATCATTTTATAGTGTTAGAAGTTTTAGAACACTATTTTTAGAACACTATTTATCATAGTGTTAGAAAAATAGATGAAGCCAGCATCTCTCACAAGAACATGAAAAAGCTACTGCTTTTCTATGTCCAACTCCTCTACCTGCATCTGGTTTACCAGACCCAGTGTGAACCAGATAACTTAAGGGAGTTTTAGAAGGTTGCTTATTTGGGTGKAAATTTGAGAGGAGAAAGGAGAAAAGAGTGGTAGCAAAGTGGTAACAAACAAAAAAAAGAGAATAAAATGTAAAAGAGAACAACAGAGGGCAGGATCCACAGACTGTGAAGTAGGAGTGTGGATGTGTACAGACAGCAGAGAAGCTGATCTGTGAACCCCAAATCTGCTGCATCTCAATCCTGCACACTGAAGGCAAACACTGGTGCACAGTCAAAGAGAAAGCTGGAGAAAAAATAAGGTTTTCATGCTCCCAGGCCCCTGTTAAAAGCTTACAAAGCACGCAGCAAATGTTGAAATTGTTTAAAAAAAGTCATGAAATACTCACTGCCACAGATTTAACTGCTTTAATTAGTTTTTTGCTTTCCAAGTTTTTTAGTATCTTGTTGATCTCTGTTAAAGGTAAATTACTCTTGTATCTTATGTCCCTGCTCCAAATTCCTGTTTAAAAACAGAGAAATGAACAGAAATAAATAGAAGAAACCATTTGTTTCTGTACATACTCACCAACAAAAAGTCGTATCACAGCACAGCCTGAATMATTTACCTATCACAGGATGGATCCTGCCACTCCCAGCAAAAGGGGAAGAATGGACAGAAAGGATTGGGGAAAAACAAGCAGGATGGAGACTCTTAGATTTTATATTTGTATTGTCTGGGCAAGCATTTACAAGTGTGGACAGGAACGATTCCATAAGTAAACAGAGGTAGTACCATTCACAATCAAAATATAAAGTACCTTTGTTGCCTGCATCCTCTATGATTTGGTAAACCAGCTTCTCTTGATTGTCAGAGCCTTTCATTTTACTGCAAAATAAAAAAGGCATTAGGATTTTTGAAAGGTCCAAAATTTGAAAGAAGTTGGATTTGTTTTTAACTACAAACAAGAATTGTGTTCCAAATATATTTACCCAGGCTTACCTTGCATTTTGGGAATCTTTGATTCTGTACAGGAGACCTGCACTGCTCCTCAGAAGGTCCAGTTGCCCCTACGAGAGAAAGGGCACAACACATTTACTTTCCTCCAAACAGCTTGCTTCAGAAGGTGTTTTAGAAGAATATGCTAAAGTTCTAAAACAAAAACCTTATTTAATGTCGACTAAATAAAGAAAAACTAAACCTAAGATTTCTAACCACTGCAAACAACAATAGCCTTGAGGTTATTTTCTTCCCTTGACAAGTATCCACTTATCACCAGCTATCAGAAAAAAACAAACAGTTCCTGACCCTTCCCACAACATCTACATAATTCCTGTYATTTCACCTGACTTTCATAAGGTACAAGGGACTTCAAGTTCTTGTATACTTCGCGCCAAAACACTCCCTACCATGGAGAGCAGCCTGTTGATGGCCACGGCTCTCTGCTGGGCGTCCATGTGAGGCATCTCATTCTGGATCACCTGGTCCGTGATGCCATGGGGGAACTGGTGGCACAGCTCAATAATCCTGTGAGAGGAGGAGAAGCAAGTTTAAGGTCATGTTCTGTTGCATCCAAAACCAAATCCAAACAGTACTGGAGTCAGGGTGGAAGTGAGTGACAAGAGCAACTCCGGGTTAAAGTATCCATCAATTGATTCTTGAGGGAGCTCGGCACCTACTCCTTGTGCACCACATCCCTTTCCAAGACCAGAAAAACACGCGATAGCCGAAAGTCACCTGAACAAACCTCCACTGCCCTCTAAGCACCTCCCAGCACCAAACCCTCAGCGCCCCCAACACCCCTATCCTTCATCACCGATCTCCTGACCAACACTCGGGCCTTGAACGACAAGGCCCCGCCACGCTCCACACCTGCTGCTCCCGCCCCAAAACACGCCCTGGCCTCCCCGCCGGCCTGCACACACCCCTCCCGCCGCCCGGCAGAATCCACACCCACCTTCCCGGCCCCGGTSCGCACCTGCCCTCGATGTCCATGGGGTCGGGGACCTCCGGCTTTACCTTCACCTCCGCCATAGCACTGCGGGCTCCGGCGCGCCGAGATGACGTCAGAAACGCGCGACGGAGGCGATGCGGGCGGTTGCTACGCAACGGCCAATGGGCGGCGGGAGCGGCGGGCGCGCGGCGTCCCTGGAAACGGGAGCGCGCGGAGCGGGATCCGCCGAGATCCTGAGGGAAACTGAGGGAAACTGAGGAAACCTGAGGAATCCTGAGGGAACCTGAGGGAACCTGAGGGATCCTGCGGAACCCGGTGAGCGGGGTCGTACCGCAGGGATGGAGCGGGGCCGGCTGCGGGGGGCTGTGCGGGGAAGCGGGGCCTGGCCGCGCTGGGGGTGCCGGTGCGTCCCGCCGGGGTGCGAGCCCAAGAGGCTGAAGCCGAGCCCCGAGGGCCTTTGGTCCGGGTGTGCCGAGCAGGTGGGAGCGTGAGGGGAAAGCTGTCAGCCCCCTCAGGTCAGGGGGAGATCTGATCCGCCCGTGGTTGGTGAGTGTGACAGAGCAYGGAGCCGGCTCTGCTCGGTGGTGCCGGGCAATGGGACCAGAGGCAGCGAACAGGAACTGGAAGCTCCACCTGAACATGTGGAAAAACTTACTGAGAGTGCAAGAACACTGAAACAAGYTGTCCARAGAAGGTGGGATGTGTCCYTGCCTGCCTGCATTAATGARTAGCWTAAGAGTTGTCTCTGGAGCAYTGGAGGGTCAGTTATAAACCCAAATCCTTGTAATATAGACGTATTTCCTGGCCCTGAGCATCAATCCTCAAGATCTGGAGTACATCTCTCTGTTTTGCAAAATGCCATCAATCCAAATGCAATTTTTCATTCTTGAATAACATGGCATGATATTGACTGTGCATTAGGATAAATCAGGTTTGGTATCTGTTTTATAGATATATTCTTGATTCACATGATAACTGGCATAAGCTTAAGCAAAAGCTGTCTTGCTTTAGTCCTTTTCAGGACATGTTGTACTTATTCAGGTGGCGTGATTAGGGTAGAGATTCCTGTTCTTTACCCCTTCCATGTGTCACTGACATGCGGTGCTAAAGCTGTTTTAGCTCAAACATCACACTCAAAGGTTGGTTTGAAGAATCCAGTGTTCTCTCTYTTAAGAGAAACAAATAAAGACAAGGAGTCATGTTAAGAGACCATATTTATCATATTTATCGTATTTCTCATATTTTTCTGTTTGTAAAAATCATTATCTCCCTTTTTATTTTTCTGCTTTAAAGACCACTGCTGAGAAAAATGACAGCTGGCTCTGTCTCAGTGCCACAGATCATTCCACTTCGAATCCCACTTCCAGGGAAACCTCAACGGGAAGTAGACACAAATACTCTCATAGAAATAAAATCAGGTATGAAACAGTATGAGCTTTGACTCCACATCAAACCTTTACTTATGTGTCCATTTGAAATGTTTGGCCTCTATGCTTTTTTTTTGCATTTAATTATTATTTTTTGAGCATGCGTTTTGTTAAGGAATTTTTAATTAACCAAATTTGATGCACCAAATATACTTGCACAAATTTTATGCATTCAAGCAAAATTACTGATATAAAAATTATATGTGTTAGCAGTCTTAATGGCTTCTAAGGCCAAACCTTCAAGCTGTTGCATTTTGCTTTGACTGCAAAAACAGTGCTTGGAAGTATCTTGTGCCAGGCCCAYTCCCAATGTTGTTGTTACAGTTTTTGAATTGTCACCTTTCACAATGGCAGTAAATACCCTTTCTGTCATTGGAATGATCAAGCTGCTGCAATGTTTTCATGCAAAAACCACTACAACCACTACACAGCAAAACCACTACACAGCTACTTTGCTGTAAGAAATACTTACCATGAAATAATACTTACCATGAAATTGCTTTTGTTGAGTAACTGATATTTCATGGGAGAAACAGTTTTGGTCCCAAACATTCGGTCACTTATGGAACTGCTTTATTTTCTTTATATGAGAAAAGTAGTGAGTACTTCATTTTTCCAAGGTTGCATACAGTCTGATGAATTACTTTCTCTGTTTCTTTCAGATACACCCGGGGCCTCTATTTATTACACTTTAGATGGAAGTAAACCAGAGCTCATTAGGAAACCTCGCTGTGGGGTGTGTAAGACTTTGGAGTATAAGGATCCTATCACATTACCAGTGGGGAAAATAACRGTCAAGGCCTTGGCAGTTACAAAGTGAGTATCCTGYTTCATTTTAGTCCTCTTTTGGCAAGGGACAGATATCCCTGTCATAGCTTGTAGCTGTGTTGTTTAAAGCACTCYATTCCTTRCAAGTGAAAGATGAGCCTTTCCCCAGGCAGATTGCAATCTAAATGATCCTCATTAATTGCATTGACATGGCTTTCTCATGATGGYTTTTATCCATCATGTGGTTTGTGTGGTTGGATTATCCCTTGGATGGTATCTCCTGGGCTGTGGTTGTCCAATAATCCATGGAGGCTCTGGTGAGAAGCTGACCTACTGTCCTTAGAGCTCATCCTCTGGAGTGTGWCCATCAGAAACACCAGAGGAACCAGGGTGATGTTTTTGGGGTCATCCAGTGGTTCAGTRGATTTATAGAAGTTGGTCTTCCCAGGAATTTGCTTAGTTCCTTCCAAAGGATCCCAGAAAGCTAAACCTCACACCTTTAGTGCAATGTTGGGTGAAACAAAAATACAATACATAGGAAGAAAAGTGGATTTTGCTGCACAGCCACTGACTTTGTCCAAACAAGGTTCATGCKTAGAGGCAGAGAGAGAACCCATAAATCCTGTGTTTGTACTATCTTGCATTATCTTTTCTTTCCAAGGGAGCAGAAGTTTCCACTCCACTTGAGATTTGTGCTTGCTGTTTCCTTTATTAGCATCTGCAGCCAATCTGTGCTTGTGTCTGCACTCGAATTTAACAATTCTATATTCTCTATGCAGGGACAGACAAAACCTAGGCCTATGTGTTCTTTCTTGTTATCACTACCTAGATTAACACTTGTTTCCAGTATGTTTTTATTAGGAGATTTTCAGGTGTGCTGAGGGAGTCTCCAAAATGACAATAAGCTATGAAACCATGAAACATCCATCAGTGATTTTCTTGTTGCTGCACACATGTCTGGGGCAGGTTCATAGCTRTGTGAACATTGATTTTCAGGGACTACAGGGAGAGTTCAGTTGTAACAAAGGTGTTTCTGGTGGAGTACCAGCAACCAAACATCCTTCTCCCTGTTGAAGATGATGACGACAAGAATTTCCTACAAGATGTGGGCACACAGGTAAGTTTTAGCAATTGTAACCYCTTGTGTAAATGTAAAATGTTGTATATATTATATTATTTGGAGATTAGCTTTGACTGCCAATACCGTTCATATATTTTATCTATTTCTGTTTGCCCATCTTTGCTCCTTTGATCCTTTTTGTAAGATTAAGACTTCATGAGAACACTCCTCCCCCCGTGGTATTTTATGACCAATTGAGGTCAAATAGTTAAAAACGCTTTTATAATTTAAGCTTTTCAAATGCTTCCATTGAAAATAAATAGCATAAGCATGTATTTTTTAAATTTTAACTAATAACTGTAGCCAGAGAGGATTAGAGCAAAAGCAAAAAAATTATTTGGAATTCTAATGGAATTACCTTTTAGAATAAGGAAGATGAAAAGTTTACTACAAAACCTAAGAAGAATAAACTGAATGTGGAAATCAAGCCTGCCTGGAATGAAACATCCCAAGACTTTCAAGGTAGAGTGTTACTTGATAAAACTGAGATAGTGTTCTCTTCTAGCAGAAAATAGTAAAGTTTTCCTCTTGCATCACTTGTAAAATATGAGTAATTTAGACACAGCATCCTCTGGGTATTCCAGTTTCAATTGCTCAACACTGCAAATAGYGAACAAAATTTACCTTCCATACATTTCACTTGACTTCTAAAAAACATATTAAAATGTCATTCATTTCTCAGCAGCACAACAAGGCCCGGTCTGTATTTCCCTTTGTGCCAGAAAATACTGTTAAATTAATGGGATTGCAAATCCWTTACAGAGTTTCTCTACTGATGTTTGCTTGCAGTAAGATTCCAAAATAAATACGAAGCAGAAACGAAAGCTTGACCCAGATTTTCTCTGTAGATAAAGCCTCTTATTCCATGGCAACAGCAATGGGACTGTTTTAGAGCMGGGAATTGTATTTATGTTTCCTCATTAATTTACTCTTAGGAGCTGGGTTTTTTGAGCATGCAGGAGGGAAGAAAACTGTAAATAAGTACAAACATAAAAGTAAGCTCTGTCAGAGAGGTGTGGGGTTTCTTCTAGTTTAATTTCCTGTAATTCCATGCATCTTATTCAAACCCAAAATATGGATGCCAAATATATTTTCAAATATGCTTAATGACACTATGTAATATTCACGTTAAGTTATATAATAGCTGCATGGAATGTGTGGCAATGAAATTGGAATTTTATTTACAAATTATTCTATTTTATTTACAAAGAATTGTAATTTTATTCTTGGCCACAGAGAGAAAGCCTCCTCACAGGTCCTCTCAAGGACCACAGCTTCTTGCCAATCATTTGGAAACAACAGAATACAAAGAGGAATCCACCTCAGCACAACCAGGAGAGTCACTGCAGGAGATCAGAGGGGTAAGCTGAAGGAAACTGTCCAAGGCTGTCATCAGKACAGAGGTCAGAAAAAATGAAGAGGTGAAAAAATGAAGTTTTGTGATCTCTCAGTTATTAATGCCTTTGTCTGCATTCCACAGTCCTGATTTAAATATAATGGTAATGACACAATGGAATAGGAATGCCCTAAGCAGGACAGAGTTATCAGGATGGTCAAAACCAGGCAAAGGAAGTTAACAGTGACTGCATTCCTACTAATTCTCTTGTAATACATTACTGAATCTGCAGTTAGCAAATACTACTGCTGTGGGCTGGCAAGTTAATATTTAAAACTCAATATTCAGTAATGCTGTGGTGGAAGTAAGTAGCAAGSATTAGTTTATTTTTGTGGGAGGAAGCTGTGGGTTCTTAATGCAGCTAATGGGGGAATCAAGCGTAGGTACTCCTCAAAGTAGTGCATTTCAGTGCAATTTGTTTCAAATAACACCTTTAGCTGATTTTGCCATCTTTATATGCCTTTTACTAGTATTTCCTTACTAAAGCCTAAAGAATTACCTTTATTTCAGTTTGCAAGTTCCTCTGCAGTGACTAGCCAGAAAAGCTTGGCAAGCCCACAAGTGTCAAGGATCCAGAGGAAAACAGATTTCTTTAAGTAAGTGACTTCTCCTTTTAACATATTTGTCCTTTGGAAAGTATCTGAGCCTTTTGTAACCAAGCTGATAATGCTGTGGGCCTCTATAAAAATGAAGAAGGCAAAGACAGACACTGGCTCATATCTGGACAGTACCATCTAGGTGGGACTTTAAAAATTCTTTCTCTTAAATATTGTTTTCAATTGTCAGGTACCAACTGTCTTATCGTCCCTTAAAAAATTCCTAACACCCATAGGATCAGGGGATAAACTATCTTTTCAAGTTATAGTACATCCTCAGTGTTTTAGGTGAAAACTGCTCACTGGAGTAATCTCACAGAACATTAATGTTTATCAGTGTTGAAAATGTTCTGTTATCTACAGCCATGGCTCCCCTTGGGGAGCAGGGAGGCCTTACATAGTCTGCCTGCCAGGAGACCTGTTTACCTCACATGATGAGAAGGAAAGCATGAAATTCCATCATAGCCAGAGAGCTTTCTACCTTGCAAAGCTGTTCAGAGTTCAGAACTTCATATTGTGGATGCTGGGGCATGGTCTGGTGTCCCAYCACAGTTTGGAAGCCACTGCTGAGAAATCAGTGGCCTGTCACAACAAGTTCCAGATTATTCATTATGCAGCATTATGCATTAAGACAACCTCAGCCAGTTTGCTCTTGTTTTCAGATGTGCACACTGCTCTGCCCCTCGCCTGCCTGACCCCTTTGCTCACTTCTGCCAGAARTGTGGATCTCCCATCCCACCTGTGCCAGTCTGGCGCTTCCCAGCCCCTGAAGGAGCACAGGTCAGCAAAACATAGCAATCCACACATCRTCCTTGGAGAAAACAACAGCCTTTAAGTTACACAATTCATGCTGACAAACCTGTTACTCAGTCACACTTTCATCTGAAAGCTCTGTTCTAATTGCCTTGTTCTGCTCAATACCTTCAGCACTGGACCCAATGAAATTCTCCAATGATGGGCAAAATTAACAATAGATCTCTGCAAGTGCCATGTATTTTAACAAGGAAAACCATGAAAAAATAAATTGTTTGATTTGCCTGTGTCAGGATAAATAGTACCAGTCCTGAAACCTTAAATGGTGGCATGTGTGGGCACAGGTAAGAGCACCCAGTTTTGCTGTGGTACCTGTAACTGTTTTCCCTAGGCATTTCCCAAGGGATAATAACAAGTCAGTTGTGTGTTTCCCTTCCTGTATCATSAGAAAGTTGTCTTGTCTCGGGCAATTTAAGTAGTAACTTAAAAGATTCATCACCTCTTTAGATTAGGTTCATCATTAGGAGAATTTCAACTACCTGTACACGTTTTATAGTAACATTTTAATTTTACTGAAAACTACCRTAGTACCTTTCTGGCATTCTCTTTCCAGATGTCTTCATATTTTCTCAGTATGATCCTTTGATGTTTAAGGACCAATATCAGTATCAGTTGCTGTCAGTTGCTATGTTTCCAGTGACCTTGCTGCTGATGTAGATTCCAGCAAGAAAAATACTGAAATCTCATGATAACCTCAATGATCTCATTAAGTTCCTTAACATAACTGTGATGTGGCTTTTCCTTCAGATGGCACCGTGCCTTGAATGCAGACAGCTTGTGCCAATGAATACACCCACTTGCATTGTCTGTGAGTCACCAATAGCTCCACAGCTGCAGCCCCAAAACAGCATCTACATRAAGGTAATTGAGAATAAAGAGAACAAAACAGTGATTTAACTCCTGGCATGCATTTTTCTAACAGATGACTTCATTACAAATATTTGATCCAACCTGGCTTTGTATAATTACATTTTGACAGCTTTAAGAGTTAGTACAATTAAAAACAACTTGAATGGAAGAAAGGATTAAAGGTTCCCCTTAGGTGTAAAAAAGATTAAAGGTGTAAAAAAAGACAGACGTACTTCCCTTGAGAAGAAAGGAGCAGCAGAGGCACTGTGTGATGAGCTGACCATAACCCCCATTTCCCTGTCCTGCTGAGGCGGGCAGGAGATAGAGAATCAGGAGGAAAGTTAAGCCCAGGAAGGAGGGAGGGGTGGGAGAAGCTATTTTTTGAGATTGGTTTTATTTCTCATTTTCCTACTCTGATTTGATTGCTAATATATTCAATGATTTTGCCCAAGATGAGTTTGTTTTTCCTATGAGAAGAATCAGTAAGTGATCTCTCCCGGCCCTGGAACTTGTGAGCATTTGATTATGGTTTCTCTCCTCTGTCCAGCTGAGGAGGGAAGTGAKAGAAGGGCTTTGGTGGGCACCTGGCCTCCATCCAGGTCAGACATTGGTCCAAATGTAATGTTTTATGGTAGCCCTGATGCAGGTGCAAAGGCAGACCTGAACTAACACCAAAATAGCAGATTCATTATTCTTASCTCTGGTAGAAACTCAGTTGTTAATAGTGACTGTGCCAAGACCTYGTAGAGATCTTTTAAGACACCTCATAGTATTTTTTTATTAGATTATTAATAATAAATTTCCTTGCAGATACCAGGCTGTCTGTTTTGTTTGAATATAGTCACTAAGCAAACTGACACTAGTGTATATAAAGACTTGGAGATACTGACACTGAATCTCCTGAGGAAAATATACCATAATTTAAAAAAAATAGTCAGCAAGAGACATAGATTTGTGATAACTAGGCAACATGGCCTAACGAAAGTGTGAAATAGCACAGACTTGAAAGATCTTTTCAATCTGCAGGGCTGAATAACCAAAGCACTTTGTAAGATCAAGTCTTTGTGTTCTTCTTGACAGTTTTTAAATACTGGGTGAAATGTTTTTTTCTCTGTTTAAAAGGGCAAAGTCATTTGTCAGGCGTGTGGCACAGGAAATCCTTTTCACCATAAACACTGTGTGACTTGTGAGAGCAAACTGCCTGAAGTACAGATGGTAAGACTTCAATCTCACTGGGTGAATCAAACCAAAGCAGAACAATCTTTACCTTTGGAAAACTCAGGTCATGTCCCTGTGTCACCAAAGCAGAGATTCTCTCCCCCATGTCATGTTTAAACCCAGTATTCCCACAGAACTCCCACACTAATCCACCACAAATGTCCATCTAAACCTGTGTCTCATACACCTGCAAGTTTCTCACCTGGAAGCCAGGATTGCAAATGCCATTGAGAAAGCTCAGAAGGCTCTTACAAAATGGGTAGTCTTGACTCCAAGGGAGTCTTGTTTGTGTTCAGATTACTTTCAGCTGCAATAGAAAAGTTGAGTATGTGMACATCATTCACACTGATTTCAGTTATTTTCTGAAAATAGAATATGCTTTAACATTATTTTTCATATCTCCACTTTTACATTATTTTTCTTATCTCCATTTGCTGCTTCCCCAACATGCATACAGCTAGCATGCTTGTATTTGGCTGTGACTCTGCACAGAGGTGAGAAAAGCAGTGAAATATTACCACTGAAATTGCTCTGTTTTAGCACCCTGTTTAGCTTGGTTCCTTAGAAGAATTTAACTTTCAGTTCTGAAAAGTCTTGTATGCAAAATGCCTGGTACACTTCRCCTCTCCATGTTGTGCTAAATACAGAAATGAGAGAATAATAATGGTTTGCAARTCTTCAGATTGTAATAGGTATCATCTTGAGTTCTATAACTGTCTGTAGCTGGAGGCAAAAGTCTCTTGTGTACCACTGAAATGCCATTCCAAAGTGAATTTCAGTGARTTCTGTACTTTCCTAGGATAAATGTATGTTTGTCTGCTTCACTGAATGTAGATGTGTGTGTAGATAATATGTAGCTGCGTATGTAGCCAGGCATATGACTTGAATGGTGAGATAAGGCAATCTCTACTAGCTGAGAAAATTAAATCCTTATTAAGAATTATTAATAGTAATCAGAAATCTTACCAAKAATAGTGATTAATTAGTGATAACAGTAATACTTTTGGAATAATCAATGCAATTATGTAATAATTAATAAATAGTAATAATGCTGTTATTAATGTCTGTTAAATAATTTAGATTTAGAACACATTTAGACTTGTGCTTTTGTAAATTTTATCTTGCAACTGAACCCTCAGATTACATTGTTCAAATTGCATTTCAGGCCAGATGAAAACAGGGCTATTTTGTGATTGCTTACTTGCTGTTGTAGAGTAATCAAAATAATTTTCCTTCTATTCTGTCCCTTATCCATATTCCTGGCTCCTAGAGAAATCAAACTGCACAAGCCTTGAGGCAAAATATAAAGAAATATTTTAAAGCACTATTTGTCCTAACTGGGGTCTATATTTAAGCTCTAGAAAGTTCAGATGAAAAACCTGTTTYCTTTTGCTTACCCATATAAGTTAATTGTAGAAAAGTTGGGTAATATATAATTCACATGAGGCAAAAGAGTGAAAAAAAATATTTATGCAGCAAATTCCAATCTGTGAGGAAACTCCTTGCCTGAACACATCCTCCCTGCCATATTAGTAAAAAGAAAGGTACAAAGAAAATTGTGTGTTGGATTTGAAAATGTAACTTTATCAGCAGGAAAACTCCATCCTAATTTCAACTGTGCTTATATATAGGGCTTTATTGATAAATACTCCATTTAAAAGCACACCATTGGTAAGGCTTTTATTTTTTGGTCCTAATTCTGCTACAAATATTTTCAAATTAATTAATTTTACTGTGGTTTTTTAATGAAAAACAAAATTACAAGTTGGATCCAAGCCACTCTAAGCTGCAATAATTAATTTAGACTGAATATTACTTTTATGTTGTCAGAGCAGCTTGCTTTCCTCTTTCCCCTTTTAGGCTTGTGGACTTTATGAGAAGTGTTCTCCCTAACACTTGTTTTCTTTTATTAGCCCATATTTGGAGGAGACTCATGCCCACCTCTYCAGGGCCAGCAAAGGAAGACAATTCAGTGCTCCAAATGCAACGGTGTGAACCAGAGCGATGCCCGCTTCTGTGCCTGGTGTGGGGCCAAGGCACGTGCTCATGGGGTCTGTGGGGACAAACCTGCTGCAGCAATTTCACACTTCTCTCTGCAAAACTCCTGGCAGGCAGTAAACACTGTTATTACCAAGATACCTGCTTAGAGCATGGAGGATTGTGTGTGGAAAAATTAAAGGCTTAGGTGACCCCACATCAGGGTTTAGAGTTGGAAGCAAATTATCATGGGTCRACAAGCAGCAGTTGAGATGCAACAGCCCTGTGCTGAGACAAAGTAATTTACCCATCAAAGGTTAAAGCATAGGCCAACCCAATGCAAGTTTTACCATAGCAACTCTGGGCTATAATCACCTATTCAGGCAATTACCAGATAGGAGATGGTGCATGCAATTATTTTGACTGAAGGCCTCATTAACTTCAGTAAAGGCAAGTACTTCACTGCTGCTCAGTGGAATTACAATCAATGTAAACAATTTCCYCTTGCACAGTGCTTCTACCTAAGATCACACTCAAGGAGAATGAATTTGTTTTCTTTGAGCTGAATTCACATCAAATTTGAAACACTCAGCTATGTGCATAAATAACCATGAGTCCTGTACCATAGCAGGGGGCTCAGGGCAGTGAWTTACTTTCTTTTAATTCATTCCTCTGCTCTTGTTCCTGAGTCACCCATCCTGTGCCTCTCTAGTGACAAATGTTCCGTTGAACTTTCCAGCCTGGACCTCCTCCATGCTACTTTACCTGCTCCAACTGTGGGACAAGCAACCAGCCCTATGCTCGCTTCTGTGTGTCCTGTGGTGTCTACATAGAGCCCCCATCCAGGCAGAGCTCTCCTGACAGCCCCATGGATCCTGGGGACTCTCTGGGATCTTCTCAGGTAGGACACAGWGTTACAAAGCCAGGTTTGAACACAGCTGAGAGGCTGCTCCTTTGGGGGTGTGGATCAGCACAGCTCCATCCATTTCCTACAGACAAGGTTGTGGGCTGAGAGCACAAGGAGGGCAAAAATGTTTGTCCTGCTTTCTGCTGAAAAGCAGCCTCAGGCCAAGGCCTCTTTCTAAACAGTAAAGGGAGAAACAATCAGCCTTTCAAAAGTCTCAGGTCTTCAAGTACTTTTATCTTATTGGTTGTGAATTATTTGTGGCCTGCTGATACAAGGTATTGTTTCATGCAAATGTATCAGTGTTTTTAAAACTGTTTTAAGAAAGAACCSAATACTTAGCAAGGCCAGCTTTTGCCCTACAAAATCATACCTGTCTCCTGGTAATCATGAACAATTTGGATTTTGCTCGAATACTTGTGATAGGTTGCTTGTTGTTACAGACTGGTAATTAAAATAAAAAGTTATTAATTATTCTTCCTGCTAGTTTTTTCATTCCCTTACAATTTGGTATACTGTTCTGGCTATGTTATGCTTGTAAGCCATTGAATTATATCTAATTATATTACTTAAATTTTCCCTTTTCCCTCWACCACCACAGGCAAAACGATTACAGGCTCAAGTTGCCTGGCAACCTCATCCTGTTTCCTTGCCCAAATCGAGAGCAGAACTAACAGAAAAGGAAGATAAAGGAACTCAAACCATTGGACTTTTTTACCCATCCAGCAAACTGTTGGAAAAGAAGGAGCTTGAGCTGATTTCACTAAAAGAAAAAATGGAAAAGATGAGTGATCATAAACCTCTCCTGACTGCCATTAGTCCTGGAAAAGGTTAGGAGTTCTGATTTTATGATTTCTAAACAATTTATAACGTTTTTTTTCCTTGGAAATATTATAGCCCACGGAATGTGGCATCAGTAGGACACTGATTTACATCTTCACAAGTCTGTCTTCTCACCAATCGCTTGTGAATGCAGTGCCTTAGAATTCAATCACTGAYCTCCATCAATAGCTAAAGAAAGTTATCAACAATATCAAAAGTGTTGCTACTGACCCCTTTGGTAGAAGTTTGATTTCCTCAGACTGGAGGCAGGTCCCCTCTCTTTGAATTGGGAACCACTGAACAGCTCCCAGTTCACAGCACCCTCCCCAGCCTCTACAATGGGAACCTCAGGCAGAGCTCTAGTGGCACTGCAGGGATATTGAAAAACAAAACTCTGAGACAGAGGAGACCAGAGCTCTTGAAAATATGGTGAAGCTTGTCTACATGAGGAACTTGTTTGGGGTGCTGTTGTGGAATAAATTAAAGAAGCTTCAAAAGCAAAGAAAACTAAACTAGAGGAAGGGATTCTTAACAGGATTATGAAAGCATCACTCATTGAAGAGTCTTTCCACTCACAGACTGCAGTAGGAGCAGTATCAGCAMTGCAGACAATTTTCACAGTGAGATTTGGGGTTGCTTTGTTCTTTGTGGAATCACTTGACTGCTGTCATTAAATGCTTGCCATTTTTTTAGGTTTTAGTTTTACTATCCTGAGAAATCTTCAGCTTTCTGGATCCCAAACCCTTGACAAAARTCCATCAGTATTAATTAGGGATCTAATAAATGGCTCAATTGGCAAAACTGTCTTCAGTCTCACAGGGCAGGCCAGCTGGGCAATCCATAGAATAAGTTAATTTTAAATCATTACAGCACCAAACCATGGTTTGGAGGAGCAGTTACTCTTTTACATGCACTTTCCTGTCTAGCTCTCTTCAACAATCAGGTGGTCAAGCCCTCAGGCTGTTATCAGAATTAATTTTSTATTGGGCAGTAAAGGTTGCTAATGAAAGTTCGAAATTCCTCTTTTGACTYTGTGTATCTGTATTYAGATGGACTCTGATTTTTAAAATGATCACTGGGRAAATCTGTTYTCCTCCCTTGCTCTGAAATGTGACATAGACATCACTGTAGGAAATGCAACACTTGACTCAACATGTCAGGGAACTTAATTTAGTCAGAGATAAGAAGGGATTGGTCCCTAATAGTGCCAAGAGGAAAGCTAAGTAACGCTGAATATTTGTATATCTCTGTCAGAAGTACAGCTCTTGACTTGTGAGTGAGAACTGCTGTCAGTGGGAAAGGTCAGCAAGAAATTCTGAACTGCTTTTGAATTCTTTTCATTTTTATCCACTTAGCAGAGGTAACTTCGTTTGAAGCTGCACTATGTCATGTATTCTCCATTAGATTCTGCCAAGTTCTGAGGAACATATTTCATTCCATAAATCAGTTAATGTCTCTTACAGTCAGCTCATGCAGTGTTGTGTACATGGCTTGAAACTATCTGCATCAACAAAACCATGCTCTATCACTCAGGAAAATCTTGTTTATATGTGCCAAATATGACCATTATTTTTTCAATGAAAATAGGATCAGACATTTGATAGTGAAGTTTTTATATACAAGTGTTTAAATAAGATGGAGGGGGGTTATTATTTCTTTTCATATCAATTACTAATTAACCTTTTTATTTGTGAAAATTAAAAAAAAACATGCTAAATTAGCTAAGAAAGGGGCAAACAAAAGCAGTGCCCATAACACTAATACTCTGGTGTGTACTGAATTTCTTTTTTTGCTGTGCTTTCAGTCTATTTTGAGCAGGAGCCAAGGCATTTAGCAGGTAAACTTTACAAAGAACACTTCCTTTTTCTACTGTAACACAAACCAGTGTGTTGTAGGTGTAATCAGCTATTGGCAGCATGGATTCAAGTACTCCATCAGTGCTGCCAGAAATCCTTTGAGATCTAATAAAACATCAACCATGCAACATTGTATTCCTGACCATATGGATTTTTTTAAATCAAATCTGGGGATCTAGGCTAGTTATGAACCCCTTTATGGCAAATAATACTGCCTTCTATGGAGAGATCACTCACCAAGTAGTCTATTTTAGATGTTTTAATTACCACTTTCAATTTGTACTAGTTTTTGCATACGAGACCACAGCAGGGAACAATTTGTGTTGTTCTGTGGATCCTCCTTTTTMTATTTATTTAAAGCTGCTTAACCTGTAAGATTTGCTGGTTTAGTTTGTCATACCAGTTCAACCTTGCACAAAACTCCTTGTGTCCTTGTTTTGTCTTGTAAAAGCCAAAGAGCAGCACTTTCCTTCTGGCTTGGTCTCTTTTCACAGTTTTAAGCTTCACTTAACATGAAGGAAAGGATAAGGTCAGAGCARCTTCATTGTGTGAGTTAAATGAGGTTGCCAAGCCTACACCGTTTATTTACAACAAAATGATTCATGCTCTGTACTTACCATAAAGATGCTTAAAAGAGAAAAATAGCCTGATCCTGAAAACAGTTAAAAATGAGAACAAGTCCTTTTGTTTCTTCCTCTGATGAAAACAGAATGTAGCTCCAGAGGTGCCTGGAGAGGAAGTGCAACACCTCTAAATGGCTTAAAATGAGTTTTTAATCCAGGYTTATCCAGCCCCTCATGTTTCATGCCCTGTATCAGCATAAAGGAATGMTGACTCTCTCCCAGAGATCCTGACAGGATTCTCTTAAGCAGGAATGCTTAAGCTTTTAATAYGCTCTCACATATATACTTGAAAGGAATTTATTTGGAGAATATTTGCACAGACCAAAATGCTGTGTATGCTGAGTTTCTGTGTTTGCAGTTTTCAGATTTGGCTTATTGCTCCCTGGCAGTTATCCCAAATCAACTAAAAATCAGTTCAATAACACACAGTTGCTTAATTGCAGTATTTTACCTCTTTTCTTATGATCAGGAAAAGTGTGAGATTTTCCTTTTGCACAGGATCASTTTTGACTCCCAAGGATCATTCCAAGACATGGCTTTGTTGTGAATAGAGGTGCCCTAAGAATGAATTATAACCATGCATATGGTTATATGGATAAAACAGTGTTTCACCTGCCTTTTTAGGGTATAGCTTCCTTCTCATTTTCTTGGTTAGATGATGCTATCTTTTAAATCTTCCAACACTTGACTAGAAGGAATGTTAATCACATTTTAAGGATTTTTCTCCTGTTTAACTCTCTGTGAACAGGTTACTGGAGGAAGCAGCTGGATCATGTTTGTGCTCACCTTAGAAGCTATGCCCAGAACAACATTGAATTCAGAACACTGATTGGAGAGCCTCAAATGGGAAAGGTAGGCAGGAGTTTGTGAGTAACTTCCTATGGAGGGTCATGAGAATATTATTGTGGCTGCTAMATAAACACTGGGAAAAGAAATGTCTCCCTTTGCTTTAGATGTTGACCTGTTAGTGTGTGTAATTTGTCTTGTTTTGTTCCATTTTTTGCTCAGTCTTTCAATAAAGACTTTTTCTGCTTTCTTTCCAATGGCAATTCCTATTGCCTCACCTGACAGCTGGAAGGGAAGGGAGAAAGCCCTTACTCAGTTGCTTTTATATAACAAGAAGGTGGAAACTGGAGATCCTTCTTAAGGAAGATAGGGCTGGTTTGAGACCAGCTGGTATGACACCATTTGCTCCTTGACTTGAGGGAGGATAAACTCTGCCTAAGCTATTCCTGAAAGATGTTTGTAGTGAAGCTTTTCAAACTCACCAACGATGGAGATTTCGCAATTGCCCCAGGCAATCCCTTTCTGTGCTCAGCTGCAGTTCTGTACTGCTTTCCTTGGCTGCTGCCTCCCCTCACACTGCTGCCAGCACAGCCACCTGTGGCCATGTCCTGTGCCCAGGAGCAGTGAGTGACCCAGGCTAAAAATAGCTCTGGAGGGAAGAAAGGGCAGCAGGCAAGTTTCACTTCGGGGAGGTATGAATAAAACTGCAGTAGACACTTTGTACCTGATTTCTATATCCACTGGGACCTGTTGTCCACCAGCACATTCAGAAGCTGTAGTACAACTATAAATATAAGAGAATATCAGATTAATAGAGGTGAGGTACAGTCCCTTGCAACTTGTTTCTTCTTCTAGAGGATTCAAAAGGATAGGCTTGAAAAATATAAAATTGCCTGGGGAAGGCTATTTCTGCTGCTTCTTGGCCTTTTATCAGTTTATTGTCATAAAAGCAGTACCCCCAAAAGTAACAGAAATGGTTCAAAGCAGATGACAGCTATCTGGGTTTAATGCTGCCTTTTCAGTTTTTCATGTGGATTAGAAATATAATCAACCTTACTTCAAGAWTTTCAGCAGGCTGCAATGTAACCTTCATTCCACTCCTTTATAACCCCCTCTGCACTCATTTTTATATGACTTGGATAGACTTGTTTCCTGCTGTACTATCTCAATGAATTAACACAAAAAGTTTTTATACAGACTGTGCTTCCCCAGACTGGTGTGACTGAAGTAGCCACCAGTTCTCCTGGAGCTGGGAGTCCCCAAAACAACACAGCCTTTTATGCAGCTACAAAATCTTGGTGGAGAATGACTGAACTTTCATGAAATGCAGCCTCATTGCATGTTTTGGATTCACTTGGCATTTCAATTGTGAAATTTCCAGTTACTCAAAAAACACCTGCCCCCTTCTCATTGACATGGGAAGTGTTGGTACCACATCACAAGCAGACAAAGGCCACATGTGTAATTTTGTGTATTGGCTGCACAAGAAACATCATCAGCAAGACTTATTCCTGAAAGTATTTCTGTGGGGGCTTTTTGGTAAGATATAATAATGGCTGTTCTTTCCCTCTAGATGAACTATGCTACCTTCTCTGAAGATGACTATGAAGTCACCATTACATTGAATTTTGCTGCTGTTAACAAGGTCAGTTCAGGGGATGGGGCCTGTTGAGAGGCAGCTGATGTAAAGCTATCACTAGACCAATGTAATGCTGATATATTTTAAATTCATGTCTACACAAGAAATGCTTTTGTTCAGAGGGTATTAACTTAYCACTTCAGAGAAAAGAATAATTTTCTTTCTCTGTTGGAATGGGTATCTTTATCTGATTAAGCCAGACTTCATGGRTATGTTGCTATCATCTCACACTTCGTTAGTTTGCTATTAATATTAACTTACYTCTTTCAGCTGATGTTGCTGGGTGATTCTAGCACCCCTTAGCTTTTGATCWTAGATCCTGCATTTTTTTCAGCCTAAAAATTGTGCTTTTAAGGAATAAGCTTAGTAATTTTCCATAGTTTGGAGGTAATGGTTATCAGAGCTCCTGTTAACCCTATTCAAAATCTGGAATCCCTATCTCAAGAATTACCATGTTCCAAAAACCACTGACATACTAAATTCCAACTTTTCAAAGATGGAAATCTACCATTTCAAAAATCCAAAATTCAGACTGTATCTCTTGTGTAGGATTTCGGAAAGCTTACCTTTCCACATGGGGCCTGAAAAGCTGTATGACATCCTTTCAGAGTGTAATTTCTCAAGTGGTAGAAACATTTTCATTTGGATGAGAATCTTCATTAAGTGAGGTCATGTTACTTTTTCTCTAAGGCAAAAGAAATACCTAACACAAGGTTTAGAAAAAAATGCTACATAATTTTGCCTCAAAACAGAGTTCAATTATGTATGATAATGTCTTGTGGTAATYTGACACTGATATTAAAAGCCTGTATATTTTTTTCATATGCAACATTTTCATGCCACTAAGATTATAGCAGCATTACATGATAATCTTAATGACTGCCTGATTTTGACAATTCTACAGGATATTCATCCTAACAAAGCAGGRAAGTTCAGCAATGATTACCTGAGTGCTGTAACAGAAGTCACAAATGGACAGGATGTCAGTCAGACTGATTTTGGTAAGATTTTTTTTTCCCATCTTCACAATAAACCATAAATTCAGCAGGCAGGAATAAAGAAGTAGTGCTTGGAAGCTTAGACAGGCAAACATTCTGTCCTTAAGTTAATCTTTTAAGTCTCAAAATATATCTGAGTTGAAATTTAAGCAATGTACAGACTCTAAAACAGTCCTGGGAATACATCATCCCTGGAGAGCTGGAGACCAGTGAACTGCAGCCACAGCCACTACAGTGTTTTTATTGTGGTAGTAAAACTGCAGATGTTTCACRTATTCTTTTACAATAGGAACCATAAATATCAACATCATCTCTATTTYCGAGCTCTGCCACAGACTGCCAGCTTTGGCATATTTGGCAAAGATAAGAGATTATGAAATACATTCATTCTAGGCTTAGTTAGCAGAGATGCTAATAACTGCAATCTCCCACTGGTGTCAGTAATAGGTCAACATTTTGGGCATCCCATATTGGTCTTAGGTATTCATTAAATCAACCAGTTGTAAAGTCAACATCAGAATTCAGAAATTCCTGTGGCATCATTTGGCATACTTAATTCACATATAAATTYCATCCACTTTGTTCTTCCAGTCTGAGACTTGGCACGTGGCAGCCACTGCATTGGGAACTGTGTAAACCTTTTGTTAAAACCAGTACAATCTGCAACAAGTATTTCATCACTTTCTCATGCAGAAAACTGATAAATACTGCTTTGGTTGTGGATAAATTATTTCCAGATCTCTCCTCCAAGTTGTAGTTAGGATACTGACTCTGCTTTGAATTAACACTTCGTTTTCCTTTCTGGCAGGCAGAGGTGATCATAATCTTTTCTATTCAAGAAACCAAATAAAGAGAACCAAGCCAAGMACACCTACAGGACAGGAATATAAGCTCTCTGTAAGTATCTTCTGCAAATACAGGAAAAAATATTTATAGAGAAGGACTAACATAAAGGAGAGCATCAAGGGGTTAAAATAGAAAGGTTTCAACCCTGACTGGGAGCAGGGGATAAAAGTCCAACTTAATATAAAATCTGAACATTGGTAACTGACATTCAGTTCAGAACTGAAAAATCTAATTTGTTTCTCTACTAAGCCTTTAATTCGATTTTTTTTTCTCTCATTTTGAACCCATTCAATTCTGACACTGCTTTAGGCCTAAGGACTGTTGCAGTGATATCCTTACAGATTTTTTTYCCAGAAGCAACATCAGATGGAGGTATTGTCATCTTCCCTAGACTTTACAACATTTGACTCTGTACAGGCCTAATTTAATTCAAGAAGCAAGGCCTGGGTTACCCAACACTTGCTCAGAATCAGAAAGRCATTCCCAAAGTCAGGGATTAGTAACGAGGCTCAGATACATGGGATTCATGCCACTGTGTGCATTTTTGCCTTTCACTCTGAGACAGGGTCTGGCCCACCTACTTGCATTTTCCCTGCCTGAAACGTGACTGGCTGTTGTCTGTGTCCCCACAGCCAGAGTCCAGACAGCTGCTGGATGAACTRGGTCAGACTGGGAAAGGAAGGATCCCCTTCATAGAACAATTGCTCAGTGAAGTAAGTTACACTTGCTCAAGTCTCCTTTTTCAACTCTGGCTGCTTACTGCATGAGTTATCACCCTGGAATGCAACTTCAGCTTAATGATTAGGAGGCAACAGCCTTGCAATACCATTGTTCAGATGGAAAGAGCATTTTAGAGATGATAGGGCCTGGTTTACATTTATAGATGTTCTCCCCAAATTTCTATTTAGTTAGTGCCTAAGGCATTCTTCTCTGGGTTTGTCAAAGCCAAACAGAAAGAAAAATGCAGGAGTTTTATAGTTTAGGATCAAATCCTCTGTATGGCAAAAGCAAGCATAATCTGTTTCTGCTGTRGGATCYCATTTGGCTACTGTTAYACACATTTACTCTGGYATCGAGCTAGGAGATGACAAACATKTACAGAAGGAAKCAAMACTACACAYTTTGAACTTCTCTCTCTTGAGCATGAAGCCCATTTGCCACTTGAATTGGTATAATGCAGAAGCAAGGTGCAAGCTGAAGTGTCTGTGTGGTTTTTACCAGCTCCCTTTCCCTCTGCTCTGTTGCAGGGAGCTGACCCCAAYGCCCTGAGCGAGGAGGAGCGCCCTGCTCTCACAGTTGCTGTCCTGAACGGGCACACAGGAGCCATCTCCCCTCTGGTGCACAGAGGGGCCCACATCGATCAGCAGTCAGGGCCGTAAGTGAGCTCTGATTCTCTACCTCGGCTTTCTCAGTTTTAACAAGAAAACAAGCACACATGCTCCAATTTTAGAGAGAACTAAAACCCCACCTCTACTCCACAAACCTGCAGTTTGAAAGGAGGAGTTCCTTTCAATGACAGTATCCACACACCTTCTTCCAGCTGCCAGCTTTGAAGAGTTCTCCTCACTTGTTATAAAAGCTGCTCTTCTATTCAGTTCCTTCCCTCATTGACTGAATATGATAAACCCCACCAAAGCCCYCTTTTAGTGTATTCTGTATCCTCCYATCCATTTTCCGTAGTTTTATTTGCCGAGTTTCCTTGAGTAATAAATACACTGCTCATTCTTCCCGTGCAGGTACAACAACACAGCTCTCCACGAGGCAGTGCTGCTGGGATTGGAGGGAGAGGAGTGCATCCGAGCCCTGTTAAGGYAGGTACCATGGCTGGGCCCCCAGCTCTGCTGCAGGCTCCCCCCGGCCTGCCAGCACCTGCTTGGCACCACTGAAGGGCCACAGCCTTCCCTGTGTCCCTGCAGGAAAAAGCATGCAGAAATTCCCAAGTTATTCCACATCAACATTCACCTGCAAGCCACTCCACTAAATGCAGTCACTTGCACTRAATTTCAGCAGTTTACACCAATGTGTTCTGTATTTACAGCTGCAATGCCAGCGTGCAAAAGAAGAATGCAGCGGGGCAGTCTGCACTGGATTTGGCTGTTGCAGGAGGAGATAACAAGGTTCTTTCACTATTCCAAGTAAGTCTGGATAGAGAACACTGAACAGACTTATGAGACACAGGAGCATTGTTCTCATTAGGCGTTATTACACAATAAAATAAAAAAGCTATTGAACTTTTTCCCCAAATAAAGCTGAAAGTTCTTTGACTTTGGGAGCACCTGGTTGCTTGTGTCCAGTTCTGCCTGCAKAACCCATGACCTTGTGTGATCAGCTTGGGCCCTGTAACAGTCAAACACCTTCTCCAGGATTCCTCCATTCCTTCCCAGCAGTTCCAAGCACAATTCCTTTCTGACTGCACTGTTCTGCAAATTTTCTTTTCCAAACTTRTGTAAGCAAAAACCTTCCCGGCCACAAATAAACCAGAATGTCCCTGAAATGTCTTTAATGCCTGATGAATGCTGCTTACAAGAGTTTGGCATTTGAGCAATAGCACTGCAAGGTGTAATTGATGAGCTTATTTTCCTTTTTGATGTTAAAATTGCATTCAGAGCAGCCCATTGCAGTAAAGGTCAGATTCTCATTCTGCATAAAATCAAGTGAAACTACTTTGTAGCTCTGTCTTCAGTTTTTATTTATATATGCATCAACACGAGGTAGCAGCCAAGGACAAAAAGAAGTTTACAAGAATACTGGGCATCTAAGATGTRGTATAGCTCAATGTTATTATCCACAATCCTAAATCCCTGAAGTATTTCTAAAACTCCTTCCCTTTTCTATGTCCCAAAGTATCTAAAAGCATGGGTATATTCAGTACAAAAATGAAAATGCAAATGTCAACTCTTACCAGAAATATAAGTTTCAGCACCAGAGCTACCAGTATCTCTACAACAGTGCAATATCTCTAAACAGCTGGGCTTGTAAAAAAATAAAGAAGAAGAGAACAAGTAAACCCACAAGTAATAATCCTTAATTAAACCAGCAGGAAGATTAGGAGAATCCCTGCAGGAAAAGATGACGTATGCAATGCATCAGACCCCGGGTACTTCCCAAACASACTCGGAGGAGTGAGGCAGAATTCCATCAGCTTCTCAGGGACAGCCAGCCTGGAAGCTGCCTCAGGAAACACGGCCATTCAGTCACAGTGACAGTGACAGTGCCAGTGGACAGGACAGATGTCACCAGCAACTGCAAAGCTGCAGCAGTCTAAGCCAGATTCTTTATGTCACAGCGCTTAACCTTGGCTTTCTCTTCAACCTTGGTCATCTTCTGAGAAATCTGGTTTTTCTGCAAGAATTAAAAATAATGTTACTGTCTAAACTACTGTCACACTGAGTATTATTCATCTTCAAGGGGAAAGTGGGATACATCCCACTTGAAGCAGGCTGAGAACCAGGAAAGGGCACACCAGCTAGATACAACAAAGCACTTTGCACAAAGCGTTGTGGAGAGGAACGAGGCCACCTAAAGAACCCAAAGACTAGAAGCCTGTGTACGTACAAATGCCTTTCTCATTCGCATTTTGTCCAGCTTCAGGAACTCCTGCACCGTCAGGCTAGCAAGTTCTTTTTGAAGAGAAAGAAAACCACAGTCCGCAGAGTGCTTTTTGTGTTCCTCCCTGGAAAGAGGCGAAAAAAAAGGAGAAAATTGTTAACAGAAAAGGCTGCAGCTCACAACGAGCCGCACGCACCCACTCTCCCTGCCGAGCATCTCGGTTCCGCCGGTTGGGGCGRGGGCCGAGAGACATCCCCGTACTCACAGGGGATCGTCGTCGGGCTCCCAGCCCTCCAGCTCCTTRAGGCAGAAGAAGCACTGAGCCACGTCGGGGCTGTTCTCGCTGGGGCAGTGCACGAAACCCGCCGCCGCCATCTGCGGGCACAGGGGAGGCCGTCAGCGCCCGCCCGGCCCCGGCCCCGCT